ATGTAATTGATAAATAATTAGATGTGTGATTTTGATGTTGTGATGTAAGTTGGTGAGATCGAAGAAAATAAGCAAAAGTTGACAAATTTGGAGAAATGGCTAAATTGTAATGTATTAATAGAATCTATAGCATGATCCTATATAATTTTGATTCTAAGATGACGATTCAGTATTTTCCCTATCTTGCACTGCTTCAATAAAGAGGACATTAATCTTCTGCTTGGGCGCCATCTGAGAACCAAAATACCCTTTGGTAGATTATTCAAGTTAAAGCATATAAAATTAGAAAGGACAAGGATTTAACTTCAAATAAGAAAGAAAAGGTCTCAAATTGAACGACAGGTTCAGTGTTGTTCATGTAACACAAGGGATCAGCATTGTTAGCAAGAGCAAGATATTCAAGGTTAAAGAAGTGAATATAAAAATCTGATAAATGTTTCTTCAGGCACCTCAATCAACATTGTGGTCATATATCTATAGATTCTATACATAGTAACAGGTCTGACTCTATTGACTTAACGATTAGTAAAGACTAAGGGCTCGTTTGGCGGGCCTTATGAAAAGTCAAAAGCTACTTATGAGACTAAAAAATTGCTTTTGAACCTAGATAATTTTTTGAAAGTTCATTGTGGATAGAAGAGCCTTTAGAGGAAGTTAACCCAACGTGTCTTTCTCATAAAGCTCTTCTACAAGAAGTAAAAGCAATAGCCCTGCAAATTGACCCTAATTGAAGTTAATTTAGTCAATTTCACTTCTTAGTTTTCCTTAGGATGCTAATGCCACAAAAAATTTATTAAAAATCGCCAAAAATCCCTAGGAGACTTTGAAATATCTGAAAGCTACGAAAGTTTCTTCCATGATGAAATATAAAAACTTATCTAGAAACCAATTCATATACCAGACAATTCTTTTGCTCTGAGTACTGATTCATTCAGTACCTAATACGAACTTATGAAGGCAAAAACATCAACATCCACGAAGAGCACCCAGTCGAAGCTCTTTCAATGCATAAATCCATTATATTTTTACTGGTCTACCTCACAATAATCATGATAAAGTAGATAATTGCAGTAACAATACTATTAAAATGCAATGTCACACAAGAACCAATTTATCCTACTGCTGTAAGTCTGTAATTGAAGTAAAATCAATATTATTTAAAAAAAACAGAAACTACTCAGAAAAGAGAAGTTACTTGATCAGAATCTGCACCAACACTCAGTGTTGAAGCGGCGGGGGCCTCATCCTAAGAACTCACAAAACCCAAGAAGAAAATCCTTTCAATAATATGAAAAAAGGGTATTTATGAAGCCCGAAGGTCGTCATCAGCTGATCCACCAGATTTCAGATTCATAGGCTTTGATGATGATTTCGGAACTGGAGCAGATATAGCACCCCAAGTGTCATTGTCGTCACCACTATACCAAAAAGGACTATAGCAGCGGCCAAAAAACGCTGCAAAAGGCCTTTTGCAACATTTTATCATATGTTGCAAAGTGTAGTATTGCCAAAGAGGGAAGGGATACGGCAACGTTTAAACCGTAGAGTCTTTCGCAACGTTTAAAAAATATTGCGAAAGACTCTTTCGCAACGTTTAAAAAAAATTGTTGTATCTCTTCCTTTTGCTTTGGCAACATTTTACAAACTTTGTCGTTGATCTTTCTAATGTTTTTTATAATTAAATCACATTTTTATAAATACCTGCCTTCCTGTACTACCAGAATAAATATTCAATATAAAATGAGAAGTAACAGACATCAAAAATAAATATAAGAAATCAGAATTAAAATAGGAAAACAAATTGCATGAATTAAACCATGCTAGCGTATACATTGTGCAATATTCACTCGATTATACATGTAAAATATCAACCCAACATCAATAACATATTTTCCATCA